GTAAATATCGTGAAGAAATTGCCCTTCGACATGTATCGGAAGTGTTTAATGGCTAAGTAGACAGATAAAATTTCTCCACCGAAAGTGCTATGTTTCCTTTGTCGTGTCTAGGTTTTTAGAGAAACATGTAGGGGAATGCAATTGTTGGTTAACACGTTGCTGAGGTATGGCACCTACTGCTACATTAAAGGTCCTGGTCATTACTGCTATGGGTGCATCCGCCCTTCACTGGGAAAACAATTCTTATGCACTTAAGGCGCTCTTCAATTGATCAAATATCTAAATTGCTTGTGGTGCCATCATAGATGATCTAGCGCGTCCTCTCGATAAATCAGTCAGCGGTTTCGCTGTGTCATCGCATTTCGGAATAAGACGTTAGTAAAATTTATTCACCTTCAGGAAGGATCGTAGTGTCTTGAATGAATCGGTTATAGGATATTTTTATGGCTCATGTTTTTCCAGGAACTGGTCCGATACCTTAGTTTGTGGAGATATGACTGACAAGTTTATTTTGTGAATAGTTTTTAATATTATTTGTATTTATTTTGTCAATCTTTCACTGTATGTACAGTTATCATTAAATGACTCTACGTGTTGCTTATGTGAATGACCTTGAACACACTTTCCGTTGTGTAACTACATAGCGTGACATATTGTTGCTTGCTAACAAATACATTGCTACACACACAGCCCTCGTTCCATTTTCGTTTGTGATTGAGCTAACTGGAACCTAAATCAAATATTACTTACATTTATAGACTGTGAGTGGGAATATACCATACCTTGCATTGGATTACACTACGTACTGGAGAGTTCATCAACCAGATTGGAATTACCAAGCATTTATAATTGTGGTTTCTTAGTACCAGACCAAAGCCGAACACGCATCAATTCGGTGAACTTAAATAAAGTCCCAACTTTCTATCATATTTGTAATAACTAACTTATATATATTAACATTACTATTGATTTTTATTAATTTTGTTGATACTTTTTGCGTTTATATATCGTCTGGTCCACCACAAGTTATACAGTAGATGAAGCAAGAAGTTGGAAGATTATCTTACAAACACATATTCACCGCTAATCAATACTCTATTAGCTTCTTGAAGAGCACTCTTACAAGAGCTGGATGTTTGCATTCATCTTTGATCGTGGTGAGTGGTCATCTATGGAAGCATATACATGCTGCTAGTTGTATATTACTTGGACAATAAAACTCTAAACGTTGTGTAGCATTCCTTGACCCGAAAAGCACGCAGACATTCCTTGTAGCTCGAAAGAGTAGTAGTAGGTGTTTTAAGAACGTCATCTGGATGAATTAGAATTTGATTATATGGACGGAAGAAATCGAGTTGCAAAATCGCTGTATCAGATAGACCATGAGTAAAGTCATGTCAGAGTGGAAGAGAGTATCTATCTGGTATAGTCCGACTGTTAAGTGCTCTATAGTCGCCCCATGGTCTAAAATGGGAAGAGTGCTTCATGATTATCATACGGAGTGTCGATGCCCACGGACTACCGGAAGGGCTTATGGTGCCTCACTTTATCATCTTGTTGAGTTTGTTCTTTGTGAGAGCAAGACGAGAGGTCTTGGAGGTGCAAACACTTGTGATCCCTCCGTCTTAATGTGGTGTGTGACGGTATCAGTTTGTCACGTTTAAAACTCAGCTGTAGTAACTATGGTGACTGTTCGAGCAAAGTGGTATACTTATCCTTCTCATAGTGACGCTTTATCAATATTTGTATGAAAGTCGCGTCGGATATATTTCTTTTGATTTCACAGTTATCATTGGCAAATGCAAATTTCCGGATTCTAACGTATACGAGAATTTCATGGGATTGCAAGAATTCAATGCCGACTATGGAAACTAAGTCATCGGATGCGACGGAGCTTCAGGAAAAATCGCAATCGTGACCAAAGTATAATTATAGCTGTCTATTCCCACACTTTTTAATTTTTGATCTATTTGTAGCTTGCATTTCTAGTAGGAGGTTAGGTGATTTTTTTCAAGTTTAGTAGTTGGTACTACATTACCCTTAACCTCATTGTCGACTAAAAACTGTGTTCCAGTCCTTTTATCTGTGACATATAGCAAACAACTGTCTTCGGAGTTGTGGCCGGAGACCGGAGTCATCAATCGTCAGCTTTAAGGTTTCTCTACCGTGTTCGTAAAGTTGCAGGAAGAATGCTTTTTTTCGGTTAAATGCCTTAAGTTTCAAGATAACGGCATGTGTCATGTCGGCTGGTGTTAAGACTACGGTGTTTACAGTTCCGGAGTCTTCGTCAACACATGCATCGGGAGGAATATTCCAGAATGGAGGTTGAGCTACCTGATTGGTGTGGATCTTGAGTTTTTGTTGTAACTCGTTAGTGGAGTTTGTGGTAATAATTGGGTTCTAGTCTGCTCTTAAATTTTGTCGCCTACGTCTCCTTATCTGTCAGAATCGACGTCTACCTCTCAAATTGCTAATATTTGTTGAATTTTTTGACGGAGGCCTCTGAACCACAACTGATATAACACGCGTTCATCTACAAGACAATTCCTCATTTTCCTGTAGAGAGATGTAAGTCTACTAGATCAAGTACAGAGATGAGCAATCAAACAGGTGATATAGCTGAAACACTAATCTTATAAGAACAAATCCCAGCTCCTGGGATTATTCTCGTCGAGCTTTAGGAGAATAGAAGGTGATTTGATAACGAAATACAAAATATTGAATGCGCCAGGCCACCCCAACACGAGCATATTATCAAGACATCATTGCCACGCTCCTCGAGGCAACCCTCGGAAAATTGCACGTGGAAGAGAGAACACCCAGGTCCGTTCTCACTTTTTCTCATTGAGAGTTGCTCATATTTGGGATGCTCTGCCGACTGAACCGACTAAAGCCTCCTCAGTGAAAGGCCCCAATCGGAGACATGACGAACAAATATTCACCCTTGGATTACCATCTCCCTCTTGAATCAGCTGTGCCTGATGTATGTCTCGTAAATTTTATCATCATCACATAATATCAACTTATTTCTACCTTGCTTATTATCATCTCCGTTTTCCCTTTTGCTTTCACACTTCATTCTCCTCATACTGTCTGGACCACAAGTTAATGAAATTATTCGTTTAGTAAGTTCTTGTGACAATCGTCTCCCCCTAACATTTGAGTTCTCACTTCATTATTTCTATAATTACTACCAACAGAATTCCCGTCAGACAGTCTTCTGTCCAGTTTCATCCTCATATTTTGGACGAACCGTTAGCGGATATTATCAGCACTTTGGATCAGGTCTTACAACTACTAAATTGATTCAAAATTTTGTCTCACTGATTCACAGTGGGTATGTCTCCTAGTTAATCTGTGAACAAATGGGCCTCATACCTCTGAGCCAACAGTCCCATCTCATAAAGCACTCCCTAGAACGCTCTGCGTCTCATAACGGATTTCGCCGACAATTATTTTGTAAAATCAATTTAACTAGTAAGACAACTGAGCTATAAACCAACTGGGTCGAATATAGAAGCTATATACAATAAAATGGTTCTCATCATATGGGTCGCCTTGAATTCACACGCTCTGAATTAGATCTTATCCATTCGAACATTCCACTCTATTCCTATTGTCCTTTCATTTCTTTCCGTAGATAAACAGATGTCTACATTTCTTCCTATTAGGTCTTCTGGAATAAACTTCATTAGTTCAATACTGTTGCTCGTCGACTTGGTCAGACTAAAACTTAAATGTAGGATTCCCTTCAACTGAGTGCATCACGATCCTGTGGTGGGACAATCACTTGATGAAACATAGCTTCAATATCTGCCGTGAGACCTATTGGCCGTCACTAAAATATAGTGAAGACATCTGCCCGATGATTGACTAAATCTGGTCCAGAATACAAGATTTTATTCAGCGACATATATTGCACTACGTTGTAGAATACGATTTTTATCTCATCAGATTTTTTCGGATATAAGAAAGATGGGGCAGCAAGTGCAAAATCCGGTACCTAATGCGATTCTCTGAAGCCTTTTCGGCGCAGCCTCGTTCAACATATTGCGTCCATACATTTAAATTTTCCTTCTGCAAACTTTTGTCACAGATGACCCGGTTCCCCAAAAAATTTAATCTACTCACTGCTAGTTCTGTATTATTAGGTAGGTTTTCTTAGTGACACCAGGGTAGAGCTATTTGGTAATGCCCGTTTAATACCTGCATAGATTTAGATATAGCGCCCAAGGTTTTACGGCATTTAGATGTGTGCGCACGGTGAATCGGGTCTATTTTAAACCTCACATTATATAATTCGTCTGATCTAGCTCCTCTATACTTAGACGATAGATAATTTGTGATACACACATATTTCGTGGTCTCACTGCAAGGACCAAACGACACCCACCCTAGAGGAGTTTTCATAGCATATGGCTCGTTAGATTTTTTATCTCTCTTTTCTGTTATCTCATGTAAATTGCAGTCTATCAGTACTTTGAAATCCTCATTGGGTTACTGAATAAAATGTACAGACACTTTTATGTATGTATCCATAGAACTCTAACCCTTAAAAAATTTATCTATTTCTTAGCCAATGAAATGCACTTGTCCATCAGGTCACTTCTGATTGCCACCGACTGACATTCTCATTAGGCTGCTTCTGATTGGCTTACTATGTCAAAAGCTCCAAGCATTTTTGAAGAGACCTCCTGATGAGATGTCACCTGTACGGGAAAAATACTCTAGAATCGATTGACATCGAGAAAGATTTATGTGAAAAGGCATTCCTATAAATGTTGAACTAACAAGTCTCAGCTCCATAACAAATTGGATACTAACTCATGATCCGCAAACTGTAGCCCGTAAGCATAAGGTAAGATTGTGGAAATCAGAGATGCGAGTTCAGATATATGTCGCAACAAACCTTACCAGAAGTTTAACACTAACTATGATATATGTGAAACAGATATTTACTAGCGTCTTCATCAGCCGCTAAGTATGATCAAACACCAGAGGGATCATATAATTGTTTATGTTGTGAAAAATATTCTTTTTACTACTGAAAGCAAAATAAACAAAATGTAATTAATTGGTGCTAATATTTACCAAATTAGTAAAACAATGGTGGAAAAAACATGGAAGCGTTTTTCTGATTGCGTAACATTATAATAACTATCACAGTTAACACCAGAAATTTAAGTTTTCAAAATATAATATGATAAAATTTTCAGAAGGGACAAAAACCAAAGAAGGCATAAATATAATAAATGAATTAACACAGTAACAAAGGAAATACACACATCACATGTGTAACTAATGTGTAATTGGAGGAAAAAAAGCCATATAAGCGAATACATTTTGCCACAACAATATGATGTTCAAGCGTACTTCTAGGCATCCGTGACTTGACCAGCCTTTTTCGATATTGTATCTGGATTACCGATTGGTCCAATATCAGAAAACAGATTTAACCAAGCATCTAGATTTGTGGGCTATTGTAAATTCAAAGTATAAACGAAAACAACACAGTGGTGAAAAGATAATAAAGAATCATAACTAATTATTACCGCAAGACGAATATTAGTAATAACAGTTAAAATGTAACGGTTGAGAAAATCATCAAAATTGACTAACCATATATTATTAAACGAAGCACTAGTCACTGATACCATATAACCATTAGATTTTAAGTAGGAAGATTGATTTCTTGCAAAGTGAACGCTCGACTTATTTAGTAAGAATAGGTCAGATCTGTATAAATTGGACAATAATAATTTAATGGCTTACTGTGCGAACACGTATTTACAATAATATACAGTTAAGCATCTCTAATCATTCTTAAAACAGCCGAGGGTGAGGAGAGATCGCTCTTCCAATTGAAATGCCCACATATGGCCACGTGTATACAGCCACGGCCGCGGTGTTGTTCACGAGACTGTCAATCAGCAGTCAACAAGCAAACTGAAATCGACCCAATCTATCAACCAATCGGGAAAGTTATGGACAAACATGGGACAAAAAATTAAACCAATCGGATATACAACCAAAACAAAGAAGTGAACAATGACAGGTTTAAGGTCAACAATAACCAATCAACATCGAGGTCCATAGGACAAATTGTGAACCATATGTGGAGAAATCCGAACACCACTTCTATCTGAAGTTTGTGCTGATGATGTCGTTCAGAAGAATGATGAAAGCTCTACGACTAAACTATCCAGCTCAGAGAACAAGACTCCATCAAAATCTGGTGTTGATTGAGTCTAGTATCTATATATTAGTATAGAGTATTGATGAGGAAGCAATTAGAAAGAAATACTTCTTAATTCAACTTGTGTTTTGAATATACACAGATGTCATCTTTCACCTTCAGTTGGACAAAAACTGGGGCAAGATAAATGGCATGTCATTTCGCCAAAAAGCTAATGAGTAAATAAGCTACTCGAAAAAGACATGTAATCAGTAGGTACCAAACAACAAAAGACTATTTGATATTATCCGACCACCGATTGGGATTTCCAAACGCAGAACATTATTTTAAGTATGGTATGGATTCAGCTGTGAGATAGTGAAAGTTTGTAAGGACGAGTGACAATTATCAGTTTGCCAAAGCAAACTAGATAGAACGGGGTTCTAAACCACGATATTTAACTACAAACTTAATGTTTTAACTACGAAGGAGCCAATCCAGTTACACAAAAAAACATGGGCACAGTTACCTGTTGGGATGATAATGACTTTGGGGCATTTGAAATGGTACCCAGAGAGTTTTCACTTTTTTTTAACTGTTGTTCGGATTGGTTGTTATTATTACTAAATGCAGAAGTATTCACGTTAGTACACTCCAAAGATGACTTCATCGATTGAGTACCAATTAAATTGGAAGTGCCTGGGTTGAATAAATTTTGGAATTCCTGTTCTAATAAGTGTGAAGGAAGTATTGATGTCCTGAGTGTATCCTAATCATATCAAAAGTGGCGAAAATAGAAGCATATACAGTTCGAATGAATTCAGTTAGATGCAATGAATGTTAAAGTGACTAACTTAAATAATACATCAGACACTCACTTGTTAAAGGGGATTTTTCATCAAGGAATGGTATCAGAGTTAAAAAAAACCATTAAAAATCAAGATACATCATGACACCTACTTTATTTAGGAGTCGTCATTCGTTATGCTTATACAAGGTTTGGCACTTTTATCATCTACCTAGTTAAAGTCACGTTACTGATTCATAAGGAGAATATGACGAAAACTAATTTGAAACATGTCATTATCAGGTACTTCATGTTACTTTGCAGGGAGCATGGTTTGGTTCCTCTAATTACGACCCAGCTACTCTTATTGCTTAGCATTCTTTGGACGCTTTATTTTACTCGAAAAATCCCCAAATCTGAACACGAATGAACAGGAACGTGATAATGTTACAAATAAGCAAAGTTGAATGGAAATAGGAATCACAATAAGAAAAACATTAGTAATATTTATAATTTTACACAAGGAGATTCTAGAGTTTTTCCAAAGTATCTGCTACCACTGATTGGTTAAGAAACAATTGATCAGCATGCACCAACACAAACCTCCACGGAACATGTTTTAATCCAATCTATATCCCCCTAACAAAGCAACTGTTTTCATTAGTTTTCAGTTGGAAATAAAATTACTCTTCAAATTAAAGAAAGACATTGAATTCTCTTAAATCAAATAACTAGTGTTAACAAAAAACTCTTCGTGATGCTGAACATAATATCGACCAAGCTAATGAATTATTAACAAAGTAGACTATAAATAAATAATATATTTGTAATATCCCAATGAGTAGAAACTTAGATTTTCTGACGTTTCGTGATATAGTGAAAGTCACTTCTTCAGAGAATAAATAACCAAATTAAAATTAATCCAAGTTTAAATTGTCCCGCTGTACTATTTAAACTTGGATTAATTCTAATTTGGTTATTTATTCTCTGAAGAAGTGACTTTCACTATATCACGAAACGTCAGAAAATCTAAGTTTCTACTCATTGGGATATTACAAATATATTATTTATTTATTTATAACAATCTACCCAATGCTCAATTTATTCGAAATTATCAAATCAAACCTTGGTAATGATACCTACAAAGTAGACTATCGTATGAAGAAGTTGAACAATATTTTACTTACTTTTGACCCTACACTCTGCAACGGTCCGAAATCAGCGTTTTGGCAAGGCTGATTCAAATCGCTAAAGACAGCTTCCGAATCATTAGTGAATCCGTCTTTATTTCCGAAATTGAAAGGACCTTTATTACATGCAAAAAAAGAATTAAAATTTTTTAGAGTATTTTGAAGATTTATGTATTGTGTTAGGAAACAAATCATAGGTTTTCTGGAAAGATCAAATCCTTACGAAGGCTCGTAATGATCCTCAATTTACCAAGCTGGGATTGAATGAATATCTTAAACTCATTTTTAGTAGTTCAAAGGCGAGATTGTTCAAGTTACTGGATTTTAATGTCTTTTTAATTTCGCAATGTTTCATGTTGTTCAGTATCCGGACAAAAGTTACTGAGACTGAATGGTCAATTTTAGTCCCCGAGTGGTACTACTTATATCTGGTACCCTTAATAAAATGGGATATTTAACTTCTATCAACAACTAATACCATTTTAATGTTATCAAAATCTGTAAACCACCAGTTACAAAAGTAAGCGCACACGTTGATGATTAGGTTGATAAAACTCGAAAACATGTTTTCCTGAGTTGCAGGAGATAAGGATAATAATATGATATTTAATAACCTCGATCGAACTCATCTAATAAGTTATAACATATTCGTAACTTATATAATAATAGTAAATTGATAGAACCTATGGGTTTGTTAATCTCGATCGATGAGAGTGAATCAAACAATAATATCTGGGCTAAACGCCCACCACTTCAGACTCATTTAGTCCCAGACTGGCTATTATTATGACCAGTCATGAGATTGCACCGGTAGTATAAACATAACCCTTGTAATTGGTTAATTTTATTGTGTCCCTGCTACTGTTCGGTATGCGCGTGTTTATTGTTCTCTTTGTAATCGGCTACTACTTTTTGTTTTTTTTGTGCTAAATGTATTCATCTACATCTTAGAAACAGATCGTAATTGTTGAATATACACATAGTTATCTGTTTTGACTATATCCCTGCCAAGTTTGTATGAGACAGCATAGGGACATATTCAAGAAATTCATCTGTGGGTAAAGATTAAATCTCATAGTGTGAAACATTTCTGTGTTAATGTGGTATGTTCAACGCGAATTTGTGCCAGTTTCTACGTTGATTACGATTGAATGGATGACCCATTATACCCTTCATTGTTACGATAACCTGAGTAACCAAATGATATATCATCAATGTTGGAGAAACTAAACTTTCAAAAAACGTTTTTGGACACATATCAATTTCCAAATCCATATATTAATTGAAAATGAATTCGATTCATGAACTTTTAGTGCTATTGCATTTGTATAGACTGAGTCCTCATGAAATCAGTTTGTGGTCTGTCATTATATTAATTAATTTATATGTATTTTGCATTCAAGTAATGACTTGATTGACAATTATTGAAATTAACCAGCATATTCAATCGAAGTAGATGTAGTTCAAGATTTACATCCAAGTTAATTAAGTTATATATCAAAATCCAATGAACACTACATACCGAGTTTTATCAACTGTGTAATTAATTGTCTTTGAAAACAAAATCACAGTAAAATAACCGATACAAGGAAAATAAAGTGAAAATCAAATGACAAATTACAACTGAACCACATTGAAAGTTAATGAATAGAATTCCTTATGAATGATCTAATACAACAAAATGCTTGGAGTTGACTGGACGAAAACCACCCTTAATCGATATACGAAATTAAAATTGATCTTCCGCATACGTCGTAATTAGGAACGCATAGTATCACTGAAAGTACGGTATTGATGATGCAATTAAAGTTATAGAATCATCTTCCGCCTCGTAAGAGGAAGAAATCTTCAAGTTTAAAAAACAGTACTCTACTTGTTTACACAGTAAAGGTATAAATCGACACTTTAGGAAATAAAAAAATCTGTCTCATTACCATAAAAAACTTACGAGTATCCACTCCAGAAAGGTGTCCAGCAAATCTATCATCTTTTGCATCACTAAGAAACAGATCAGTGAACAAATCTCTATGATCAGCAGGGACTTGCTCACTAGATTCATTAATCAGACCTAAAATTGTTAAACCGAACAAGATCATCAGTCCCTAAAACATTATGGCAAAGTAGAAGCGAAAATGGGCAAAACGTATACAAGGTAGTTGAAGCATATATTCATAATAGTTATTACGCATACAACTAGAGTAACTATTTGAATGATGAAACAGCATGTAGGAAAAAATTAATTAAATGATGAACAGTTGTAAGCGACACAGAACCTGGCACATGTATGCATTCATCCAAATTGGTACTCCGTATTAGTAAAGTGGTATTTATTTAGTTATTTAAACACATTAACATTAGTACACGGAGGCACAAAATAGAAATGCAACACACAAATCACTCAATTTATGTGAGGTCTGGGATACTGCTTAAGTGCCACTCCCTGGGCCTTTGACCGTAAGGTCTAATCCACGAGGTAGTGGAGTAACGTAAGGAGATAGTCTTATGGTTGCCGATGACCAAAAATAGGCTAATACGCCATTTGTTCCTTTAGGATCCTGGAGCCCATGTGCACCATTGGTTTGAAATCAGGGTTTTTCAACTCTCTTAGGTGGACTCGCCGTGTCTACCAACCCGGTTAAAGTGCCGGATATTCGCTTTTCGTCCTCCCAATTTCGTAAACAACACCGGTGCCACGACAAGAGTTATAATTTGTCGTTTGAATGCTTATTGTCTTGGCTCTTTCAATGCTACTTTTCGTATCTGATCGTCGCTGATTGTTATTGTCGGAAACGCTTATCACTTATACTCGGAACGAGGGACCTCTGCAACTCCCACGATGCGAAAGTAAGAACACAAAGACTGGTATAAGTGATGATTTATTAGCCCAAAGCACTATGACGACGACAACGACTCTAGTAGAAAATACACTCATTTATATATTGATTGTACACCCATTTTGATTAATAATTAGGATGAACTCACATTTATGAAAAATACTTAGAGTTATAAAATATCACAGACTGAGCATAGTTCATGTCAATAGAATACAAGAATATCGCATATTATACAGTATAAAATATCATACGAGACAATAAAACAACTACTACATTGAGTAATCATTACATTGAATCAAAACGGAAGTAATGTTGAACAAAACTGATAATGAGTAAATCAATCGAAAATTGAATTTTCTTTCCATCATATCAATAAAGCAGTGAGTAGGACTTTCTTGCCAGTGGTTGTATGCACGTGGCGATGTGAGAGCATTTCGAGATATGAAATTGAGACAAATCCCAGAATAGTAGGAGTAGTAACAAAACCAGTTGCATTAAGAAACATTGGGCGTAAGCAATATAACTCGAGAAGGAAGGCTATCCTTAGCCTCATTTCGAAATATTTCTACACCATCAACCATTGAGAGTCATAGTGGGGGATGGTTGGACGTATGTAATACATAACCCAACCACACAAGACGATGAACGTTCATAGCCTTATCTCATAGCTTATCATTAAAACATCAAATTTTACAAAAAATACGTTTTACTGACATTGAGAAGCGTTTGAACAACTTTACAAAAACATAGTACTAAAAATTAACCTTACCACCAATGTTATTGTTGTCTTCAGTTCCACCAAAACTGGTTTGATTCCCTGATGATTTAAATTGATCTGAATCAAAGTCGAAATTATTACAATGATTTTCTAGGAAAATTTCATCTAATCTTTTATCAAATTCTTCTTCATCTGTTAATTTTGTTTGATGTATTCCATGGTTATTGTCATCAGAATTCATAATTGCTGGATCACTTAATTCAACTTGGTTAAATCCACTGTCTAACCTGTATTTTAAAAAGAAAAAAGTGAATAAGTATGAATATATTTTTAGTAGAAGACACTGAACACTCCTAAACTATGGACAAACAAACCAAACTACTTAACATTGACTGCTAAGCAAATCTAAATGAAACAAATCTTCTGGTGCATTAACTGATGATGAGGTGATTAAGTAATCCACTCTGGTCCCCGAAAAAGTTAATTAACTTCGCTGTATTGAAGTCTGCTTAATTTAACTAATAATCTGATACCAATAATATACCGCAGTACATATCGTCACATTAGAGGGAATTGTAGTTGACTTGACTATTATCAACATTTCCACAAATTGTCACTAAGTACGACCTAATTTATGTGCATTTGAGCCACAATATTTGTGTGAGGTGTGCGGATAATACTCGGCTACTTAAGTTTAAAAAAAATGAAGTGTACAACCAATTAGTTGAAGCTGTGTTGTGTGAACACACTAAGCCGCTACTGATTTGCATAAGTTCATCATTTTGGCCAATAACATATTTTTCGCATACTTAAAAAGTTAAGGGATAAATGAATTTTTTTCTCCTCTACATTGTGAAACGTGAATCCATAGTAACGGATAAAATATATACGAAAAATCATGATGTTTGTATGTTACATGAATATTTAGCTGAATTAGTTTTCCTACTTCGTACTTTCATCAATAATTATATATTAGAAGGGATTTTTGTGAATATTATAGTAATCTGAATAGTTGAGATAATGATTCCAATCATGAGACTGATAGCTGCTGGGTTTGAATCTCGCGAAGCGGGATCGTGGATGCGCACTGCTGAGGAGTCCCACAATAGGATGAAACGGCCATCTAGTGCTTCCAGGCTTTCCATGGTGGTCTAGCTTCAATTGACTCATGATCTCAACTATTGAAACCATACATTAGTTCATTAATATATGACAGATACACAGCATTCTTAAACTCATTTACCATGTACAGATTTATGTATTTGGTCACACTCTAAGTGCAGGGGTTAGTGATATCACCCAGTTGCCCAAATCAAACCAGGTGGGTAGGGGTTCGAACCCATAACTTTGTGCTTGAAACTCAAACGTCTTAATCGCCGAACCATCTTTCTGCTGCTCAATATTGGAAACTTACTAATAAATACCTAATTATACCGCCCCAAAATGCCCTGGCACGGCCGAGAGTGGGGAGAGTCCGCTCTCCCTCTCGAAATGCTCTCACACGGCCACGCGTATATAGCCTCTGCCAGGGAAGTCCTACTCACTGCCTTCTCGTGGCGGGGGTGTTGTTTACGAAAATGAGAGGACGAAAAGCGAATGTCCGGCGCTTTAACCGGATTCAAAACCAATGGTGCACATGGGCTTCAGTATCCTGCAGGAACAAATGGCGTATGAACCAATTGCTGGTCACCGGCTTCCATGGGACTGCATCTCCTTACGATGCTCCACTGCCTTGTGGATCAGACCATTAGGTCAAAGGCTCGGGGTGTGGCCCCCTAAGAAAACTACCTGCTTCGGTCTGGGCACCCGGGCAGTATCATAGCCCTCACACATCGAATGAGATTTGTGTGGCGCATATGTATTTGGTGCTTCTTTGTACCATTATCTATGTGTTGAAATAAAAAAAACCTAATTATACCAAACTATTCCTACATACTTCGTACTGAAAGAAAATTAATGATGTACTGAATGACCGGATATCAATCATAAAATGAATATCCTATCGACAACACGAATTTAACGTTTGCATCAGAAACCAGACAGAATCACACTACCCCAGTATATGGAATATTTGAGGTTAAGTTGATTGTGAATAAAAATCAGTTTTGAATAGAATCAGAATAATTCTTCTGAAAACAAAGTGAAAGATTTCAGCCATGTCATTATAAATAAAAAGCACCGATGATAAACCCGTAAGTGCAATATGACGCTTTGTCTGAATTGAACATCAAAATGAGGAAAAATGTGACAACTGAGAGCAAAACTCTTCAACTCAAACCAGAACCTTGAATAAATACAAAAATTCTTTCACCAAATAAATTGCAAGTATCTGAAACCTGGAAAGTTCAAGGAAATTTTTCAGGATCGTCGTGTCAATAGGCAAACTCAAAGCCAAACAGAGACACACGCACACACATTTACCAAGTCACGGTTTTTTGTCTCTCTGTGGAATCATCACATTTTAAAGCTTCATATCCACTAGGGATGCATGAATGAATTGAAGATAATATACACGAGGTTTTGCAGTTTCTCAAAGATTGATTATGAGTATATCCCGCATCACTAGATGAAGAAGAACTACATTCACTTCCCTCATTATCACCTCCCTTTTTTTTTGCTTTCACATTACCATTTTCGCTGGTTTGTAACGAAAACAAAAAAAATTACAAAAATTAATATTAAAACTAAAAGTGCTTCTATCCAAGATACTCTGAGCGTTAAGGGTATAAACAAATGGTACAAAATGTATTTATAATTAGAGAAATTAAAGTTTGCGGCATTTGGTTCCATCCTCTAGTGACAACTGAGATGTAATACTGACAAAAATCGTCAGAAGCAGCTGAAAATTACATGTGTTCGTTTTGCTTTGATCTCCAGTTGATAATAACTGGGGCAAGAAGTAAAACTGGTAGAAAAAAATTCTTATTCGTGGATAACCCTATCTAGCGCCTAGTTTAGATAAATAACTGGAGCGATTCATAGTGCAGTTCATAATATTTAAGTTCGTGATTCGTGAGAAATTTCTATTTACTTATAGACAGTTATTATTACTTAATGATATTTCGTGAAAGAGCAAGAAAACCCAGAGAGATCTAAATAATTGTTTAACCATAGTTTGGAACCTTTAGAGCGCTTGTGAAATTGAACCACAACTGCTAATATTGAGACGGAAGGTCTGTAGCTCATAATTTGAATATTTTAGCTATTATAAATGAATGACAGTAAACCCATATGCAAACAAATTTAGAGGACAATGACAATGACATGAACCAGTGCCTCCACATAAAAGGTCACGGTTAACTAATGTATTCACCGCAAAATTCGAGGGTTTGATCAAAAGTCAAATCTCTTTCAGACCAACAGAACTATTACATGGATGATACATCAGAATAATGGGATCTCATGGTGAACACATTAGGTTTGATCTGTTGTGTCGAAATACAATTACTAGTTCGTATCACCATGATTATGCTCCAAAGTTGTTCGCGTATATATATATATATATATATATATATATATATATATATATATCGTGGAAGAAATGTACTACTTAGACCACTTATTTGGCAGTCATACGTAAGTTATGAATAACTGCATCAGATATATACATGTTTTATTACCTATAAATTAAAATAACGAAAAATTACCTATCGCTGTCTTTCTCATCATCGCTCTTATATCCAGCCAATTTACGACTTTCTGGTCTCAAATGCCGAAGAATTGAAAATTCATAGTATTGGTAACCTCTGAAACTTTCTGCTACTGCTACCATCATACTAGTGATAAGAACATTTTGAAAAAGGTATTTTGCTTTGGTTTGAAAATAGTATTTAAATGTAAAAGTAGAAATAGTATTTGTATAGAAACTATTTTCAACTTGGCTGTCGGCATACACATAAAAGTAAATTTTACTCACTCGTGAACCTGCGATGAAAAAGTAACCCTGTTTATAAAAATAATAGTATGTATAGTTTATTATCGCTACGCTATGATACACGAGATGGTTCAGTCGTGAACCAGGTTGCCTCAAAAGTTGTTAAAAGTGTGTGGGTGGATTTCATTTGCCTAGGACTCAGTATCTAAGTGGATACCGCGATGGCGTTTGAAGCGAACGATACTGAGTTCAAGTCCCGGAGTGGACATCAACTCTGGGATGTAGGAACATCCAAACGACGGGACCCAAATAGGATGAAACGTGAGTTCTGGATTCCACTGCTAGCCACCGTCCTAGCCCCCAAATGCCCTGGTACGTCCGAGAGTGGGGTGGGCCCGCCCACCCTCTCGGAATGCTCTCACACGGCCACGCGTATACAACCACTCCCAGGGAAGTCGTACTCACTGCTTTATCGCGGCGGGAAGTGTCGGGAGGACGAAAAGCGAATATTCGGAGCTTTAGCCGGGTCGGTAGACACGGAGAGTTGGGAAACCCTGATTCCAAACCAATGGTGCACATGGGCTCCAGGATATTAAGGGAACAAATGGTGTATGAACCAATTGTTGGTCACCGGCTACCATGGGACTGCATCTTCTGACGTTGCTCCACTGCCTTGCGGATTAAACCTTTAGGTCAAAGGCTCGGGGTGTGGCCCCTTATGAAAACCACCTCTTCCGGTCTGGGAACCCGGGCAGTATCACAGGCCACACACAATTACAATAAAAATGATGATATTTACTGAAATTCTATTCTCGCTTCGACTTACAGTCGAACAACTCACATTATTACTATTTACTACGTCATTTATTCACTCTCGTTTATTCCCACTTGATATATCCTTATTTTTCGACTTGTACAGCAGCCCGCCTATGGTGGAAACTCTGTTCTATCTAAACGATCTTGATTCACTGCCTGGTCGAAACTTGAATGCTTCCACCGAATAAGAATACTGAAACAATTTTTCTGAAACCACGTGCACCATTCAAACTGGCTGCTTTCAACGTTCGCACACTTATGCAGGTCGGACAACAGATAGGGCTGGCTATGTCTTTAGAAAGTCTTAGTATCGACGTTTGATGTCTATTCGATACCCGTATTCAAGACTGGTGAAGTACTACAAATTCACCCTCCATCTGTCGCTTTAAAAGGCTTGTTTTACGTGCGCTTATCCAGAGATCCTGTGGCATCTTCGTCTGGTCTCGCTGGCGTTGGTGTCCCACTAAGCGCTAGAGCTGAGGGAGAACTAATCGATTGGATCCCCATTAACAGTCGGTTATGTGCTGTTAGATTAGAGAGTTCCATCAAAGAAGAAATCGGCGTGAGAAACCATGTATTTTCGTCATCTCCGCAATGCCCCGACAGATTGCAGCCCGGATGCAATCAAGGATGGATTCTACCACCAATTGTCTGTTCTTCTCCAGAAAGTGCGTTCAACAGATATTGTAGTACTAGCCTGAGACTTGAATGCTCAGGTCGGACGTCTAGGCACAGAAGAGAGTCGTTTAGGTCGCCGATGGAGACTTGTTGGTCGCAGGACATATAACAGGGATCGTCTACTGCAAGTGTGCACAGACCATAATCTGTTTCTGGTTAGCACTAACCTTCGGCACAGTCATCGCCGATGTGCCACCTGGCGTCCTCCCTCTGCATCTCAAGCCTGGACTCAGATTGATCACATCGCGACCAGCTACCGCTGGCGTGGTTGTGTACAAGACTGCCGCTTCTTTTGCAGTACCTATCTGGACTCTGACCATGCCTTGGTCTGTGCCAATCTTACCTTACTTTTCAGTGGCCAACGAAGTGACCAGTACAAAAGGATTGGTGTCAGCAAGTTGATTGCAACTTCTGTTGCTAGTAAGTATCGAACCGAGCTAGCTTCTAGGCTAGCCACCATTCCACCGAAAAGTATAGATGAGCATTGGTTGCAATTGCATGACGCCATGAAAATGGCGAGTACAGTCAGCTGTGAGATCGCGAAACGCCCCGCTTATAAGCACTGGGTTTCTGCAGGTTCCTTATAACTCATTGAAGCCCGTCGGTCTACTCCGGGTGACCGTGAGTTTGACCACAAACGAAGGATGTTACGTAATGAGATTGGGCAAAGCTTGCGTAAGGACCGAGAAGCCTGGTTGTCGGAGCGTGCTAATGAGTTGGAAGCAGCAGCTGCATCTGGTAACTACTGGAAGCTCTTCCAACTCATCCGAGCCACTGGCAGCAAGAAGTCTGGTGTGAGCTAAACAATCTGTGAGGATGACGGGATGCCAATCCCTAACATCCATCGACGTCTTGGACGATGGTAAGAATTCTTCGAAGGGCACTTCAACTGGCCCGCTGCCTCGGAAACATCGATGACTCATGGAATGAGTCGATAGTTGTCCCTATCTTTAAAAAGGTTTCACGTCGTTCCTGTAACAACTATCGGGAGATAAGTCTACTTCCGATTGCGTCCAAGCTATTGGCTTCCGTCATACTTCGTAGGTTGTTCAAAACCCGAGAAAGATTGACTCGCGAGGAGCAGGCTGGGTTTCGTTCTGGTCGAGGATGTATTGATCATATCTTCACCCTCCGCCAAATGTTAGAACACCGTCAAACTTATCAAAGGCCAACAATCGTAGTGTTTCATGACATCAGGGCTGCTTTCGATTCGTTGGACGGGATTGTTTTCTGGGATTGTCTATTGAAGAAGGGTGTGCCTGAGAAGTTTATTAACATCCTAAAAGCCCTATATAAAAACACCTCAGGTAGAGTGAGGGCATAAAACCACCTTCCTCCATTGTTCCATTCAAGCAGTGGGGTTAGACAGGGTTGCCCAATCTCACCATTCCTCTTCAACTTTGCCATCGACGACATTCTGGAAACAGCTCTGATGGATGTAAGTAATGGTGGTGTGGATCTGTTGCCTGGAGAAAGACTTCTCGACCTTGAGTATGCGGATGATATTGTCTTACTGTGCGATAATGCCCAAGCCATGAAATCCGCACTTAATCAGTTGGCAATCTTTGTCCGTAGGTACGGTATGTGCTTTGCACCTTCGAAGTGCAAAGTACTTCTACAAGACTGGTAAAACTCTAATCCTGTACTCACTCTGGATGGAAAGCAGATAGAAGTGGTCGAGAAGTTCGTGTATCTGGGTAGCTGCATAAGTGCTGCTGGAGGTGTGAGTGATGAGATCAATGCACGTATACTGAAAGCCAGAGCGGCTTATGCCAATATGGGTCATCTTTGGCGCCTATGTGATGTCAGCCTGGCTGTAAAGGGTCAGATCTACAACACGCCGGTGAAAGCAGTTTTGTTCTATATTTATGAGGATGTCAGACGACTCTCTGTGTTCGATCATCGCTGTCTCCGAAGGATTGCTGACATTCAGTGGCAACACCATGTTAGTAATGCAGAGGTTCGGCATCATGTGTTCGGGCACAGAGACGATCATGCAATTGGTGTCACCATCTTGAAACACCGACTTCGGTGGCTTGGACATGTTCTACGAATGTCGTCCCAAAGAATTCCACGTCGTACATTATTTGCCGACTCTGGGACTGGTTGGAAACAGGGGAGAGGTGGTCAGTGTATGACATGGTGTCGTGGTATGAAAGAAAGCTGCAAAGGGCTGGCTTCTGTCGGTCCTTCACGACTCCGTGGCTGAGGTCCGAGAGATGGTGCAAAACAGTGACTAGAGACGTTATCAGATATGGTTCAGAATAAAAGCCAGTGATCCTGCTGTAACCTTCTTTTACTTTCTTCATAAAAATAGGGTTGTTTCTTCCTTAACTGAAAGATTTCTTCTGGTTGAACCTTCCCATTTCCCCATTATTATTACTATCATTATTATTGTAATTATTATTATTACACTACTTTACACTAATCTGGTCGTTAATGTTCTTTTTTTTTCTCTTCCCATTCTCATTTTTTGTGTGACGCATAAATATTTTGTGCCCTCTTGTACCAATATTTGTGTTCAAATAAGTAAATAAATAATTCATTTGCTAGTCACCTACACCTTGGAAGGATACTTTATGAAGTAACTGAAAATGGAAGTGAATCAGTAGAAGTATTGGCGAATCAAGAAGTGGACACAGAGCCTAGAAAACAACCACTTGACACCAATCACACGTCCCTTTTGTGGGAAGTTCTTGATGTATTACCTCCATACCCTAAAGGCCTTACCACTGGTGACAAAAATCTGTAGGTGTCCTGTTTTTAGGACTAGCCTCGTCTAACGTCTCTTTCAGTTGTAGGAAGGTATTATTGCTGTAGGTGTTGGTTCTTTGGGGGAAACAGCATACTGCCGTCACAGCCCTGTACAGTCAGTAGTGTGACCCCACCCTCAGATCTTAAGTTTGTGCTTTTAACTTCATTGTTCTCTAACTGAGCTGCCCACCACGGTAGGACCTAAAAGAAAGTGTTCTAGCTAATATAGATCGATTGGGTCATTACGACAGCTGAGTCTGGCAACCACGTGAAGGCAACAGGTACGGATGGGCGAGGTTGATAACGTAAAGATTATGTGCTTATGGTGGTGAGGTTACAGCTGAGTTGTAAAATATGTTTGAAGCAACTATTATATACAGTTAACGACACTCATTTTCAAAGTGAGACGAAGGGAGCTGAAATGGCATGAAATCGTTAATTGTTGATACGAGTTATATTTCACATATTCTAGTATCTCTTTCAAGAACATTACTATAGTAAACAAAAGATCTTGAGTTAAACCGCTGAACTGAACTAAATGTATCTAATGGAGTTACAGCCTTCTGAATATGGTCATTTATTCTTAAAACTACATACACAAAATTAATGAGAACCCAAAAGTATCCAATTGCAAAGAATTCTTTGGGGGTATAAGGACATAAAACCCATCCAGGTACTTGAAAATCATATATGTGTCAGGAGTAGAACTAGCGAGTTGAAAGATCATCTAGAACAGAAAATTTGTTGAATAGCATGGAACAACATACGCACATAATGAAGTTTAAGGTAACGCAATCAGGTATTTTTCTGGAATTACTTTCAAGATAAAAGATATGCCACGTAGTATTCTCAAATTTTGTGTAAATTCCATTTAACCAAGAATTCTGAACTCAGAAAGAGCTTCACGTTCACTTATTAAGAAAAAATAAAACTTACTGAGACGTTTTTTCAAGAAAAGTCAACAAAGTATTCTGATAGCCGACAAGTACATGACTCAGCATATTACATCGACTGGCTGCTAACAGATCTATTTTTTGCATACTGTCCACTTTTAGGCGATCGAATGATGCTTTTGCTTTACGAACCTAAATGATAAAAATGATGAACAATGGGCTTATTATCGATAAGCTTAAAAAGTAAACAACTTAAAGAAGAATAAAATCAATAAGAACATCGTTGGTTTATATTAAATGGGGACTGATTTACCTGAATTTCCGATCACTAAGTCTGACACAAAAAGATATTGGCTCATAGGAAGCGTGACTTCCTTTTATGTTACGGGTTAGGTTTAATCGGTTAGTGCTGATAAGTAAGAAATATTGACTCACAACTACCTTCAACATAGTACACAATGATATCGAGTTACTTGGGTTACTGGCTATATCACATTTTTTAACTGACCACTACAACGCGATATAACAGCGTGAATGTGTTTACAACTTGATGAACCTTTTGAGTGCTATTAAATCTTTTGGAGTTTCTAATAAGTTGTTTTGTAATGGTGGAGTAGATTTGTGACTCATGTAGATGATTTATGTGGAGTTTTGTTCTCTGAGCTGGATGGTTTGGTCGTGGAGCTTTCATCGTTACTCTGAACGACATCATCAGCACAAACTTCGGGTAGAAGTGGTGTTCAAATTTTTCCACATATGACTCACAGCTTAACCTGTCGACCTCGATGTTGATTGGTTATTGTTGACCTTTAACCTGCCATTGTCTTCTTTATTTTGATTGTGTCCCCATTGATTTGATTCTTGGTCCCATATCTGTTCATGATTTCTCTGACTGGTTGATAAATTGGATCGATTTCAATGTGTTTGTTGACTACTGATTGACTTGAGTGACTAGCTTCTAAAAATTCTTAGGTGCTTTTAGTATTTCCTATCCAAGATCTCAACATTTTCCCAGTCGATTATATTCACGGTTGTCCACATGAATTGATATAAGCGAGTTGACCACTAAATGATATCCGTGTAGACGAAGATGAGGAGGACGTCCACTTTGTCCGATGTGGTGTTTTTCGCAGTTAGAACAATTTATTTTGTAGATGATATCCGGTTTGTATTCTATTGTCATTTCGTCGTTTGGTTGAATAAAGAATAAAAGCCGAAAATCATCTACCATCTAAACTGTTCCAACTATGAAAAACACTAAACTGGACAAAGTGGTAGGCTGACGAATTTCAGAAATATTGTTTTTCGTATACACCACTGACATATTGTACAACGTGCTAAACATAAAATAAACTGGACAGATATAAGGAAGATATATATCACAATTTCTGGCTTAGAGTAGATAATGGTAATGATCATCTTTAATTACTGAGCAGAAAAAACGACTATATGGCGAGACGAAAAGCTAAATTGTATTAAATCTAATATTCTGATAATTACACTGGTGAGTAAAACTGATGATGGAGCTTTTGTTATTTATCCAACAACTAATGTAATAACAAATCTTAATGACAAGGAAATTTGATTAATTATATAGTATTCATAACTGCTGTGATAATCGAAAATTTTGAACGACTGGGAATAGGTTAGGGAAGGTATCAATGACTTTATCCGTGAGACGAAATAGTAATATGAATAAGTATTATTACAATAAAGAAAAGAGAATGTGTAGGAAAAATCCTTCGAAGAGTTGGATGAAGATACAACAGGAAATCATTCCGAAACTCAGTATGAACCATCCCTGAAGTTTGAGGAACTAGGGACCTGTTTCGGAGTGGGGGTCCGGGCAGTGTCCTACCACATACAAAAATATGATAATGGACAGTTATGGAAATGTCCTGTTCGTTATGCCTATTTGTCTAATCACGTAATATGCAGTTTATTAGAAATGAATTTATTTCACATTGTTTCAACTCCCTGTCTCCCCATATTTCTGTTCTGTTTACTTCTATACTTCGACTCAACTAGTAGTTCATCCTTGTCGAAAGTCCTGTCTTATCTAAACTATCACAAACTGATGAACAGTCGATCTTATGGATTATATCAGGATATACAAACTCTGACACAGCTTTCTGAAGCTACGAGCCTAAATTAGAACTATCGCCGACTTTCGTGCTTGGATGCAAGTCGGACAACAGACAGATTGATCCATCATTGGAAAAGCTTACTATTGACGTATACTATGAGTCTGAGGCTCACATTTAAGACCGGTGATGCCAGAAACTCCTCTCCTGTAAATGAATTTGAAATGTTTGTTCTATATCCCTCTAACCTGGAGACCTTGTAGCACTACCGTCTAGTGTCGCACTGAACGCCAGAGAAGAGGCAGCGCTAGTCGACTGAACCCCTGATAACAATCGTTTATGTACCGTTAGGTCAGAAGGCTGCATTGGAGTGAGAAATCGATGGAAAAACGGAGTACCTCTCCCTGCTCCCCAAATCCCCTGGTACAGCCGAGAGTGAGGAGAGTGCGCTCACTCCCTCGGAATGCTTTCACATGACCACGCGTATACAACCACTCCCAGGGAAGTCCTACTCACTGCCTTATCGCGGCGAGGAGTGTTGTTTACGAAATTGAGAGGACGAAAAGTGAATATTCAGAGCTTTAACCGAGTTGATGGACATGGAGAGTCCTTCTAAGGGAGTTGGAAAACCCTGATTCCAAACCAATGGTGCACATGAGCCCCAGTATCCTGAGGGAACAAATGGCGTATGAACCAATAGTTGGTCACTGGCTACCATGGGACTGCATCTTCCGACGTTGCTCCACTGCCTTGTGAATCCGACCTTTAGGCCGAATGCTCCGGTTGTGGCTCCCTAAGAAAGCCACATGCTTCGGTTTGGACACCCGAGCAGTGTCGCAGCCCTCACACAAATCAAATGAGATTTGTGTGGCGCATATGTATTTGGTGCCTCCTTGTACCAATGTTTGTGCTTAAATAAATAAATAAAAACGTCCATATTAAACAATTCAACGACTGTTTTATTAACCATTATCATTTTTGCCCAATTATCTGATAAAATCTGACTAAATCAAGTCAACGTTTAAATGGTGCATACCGAATTATTCAGAATATCTATATATGAATTACCTGTGCTTGAACGCACCGAAACTTCTCCAATTGTTTGTATGTATCTGGGTCCAACTCTTCGCTTACGTTTTTCATCCATAACAATGCACCTCGATATTCTGTGCGACCTTGTTCCATAATTTTAACTGTATTTGTTGTATCACTGATTGCCTGTTGTCTGAATGTTTTGACTTCTTGATGAACACGATCAAGTGGACTGAGTAAAGTAAGTCTATTTAAAGCAAAAATTCAGAAAACGATACAGATTGACAAAAACAAGAATCACGACTCCAATGTGGTGTACACGTTTATATGGAAACAGATATAGACTCGATTTGCTTCACTGTACATCTAAATGGACGTACAGACAACCACATATGTGGTTCTTCACAGCACATTATTTTGCTAGAAGTAACGGATCACATCCCTTTTTTATTACATTGTCTCAGGGTTGCCCTGATGCTCGTGGTTATGTAACAAGGGTGCTAAACAATAACAGTACGTCAATCATAATGTTGTGTACTCAGGCAATCGTAAGTTGGTTGGTTAGATGTAATGATTAATGAAGCCGTAGTGAGTCCAAATGCGTATAACAGAAAAAATGCAGTTTTACCTTTGTTGTGCTGAGCTACTTAACGCCTTTCCGACAGCAGACATAATCTTCCCAGCTTGTGTTTTATCTTCTAAACTATATTGTTTTAGAAATCGTCCCATTTCATTTTCAGCCTGAGACAGATCTGAACAGTCGTCAGGGTAATAATGAAAACTTACAGCACAACGTTCTCTGATAACGTGCCAACACATTGTCAAGATCTCGACATGTCAACTGAACAGATTTTAACAGCTGAAGGAGTGATAAATAGGGTGTTTTTACCTCCAACTTTGCGTCGAGATCGGAGTCGGAAGCTACAATATTTTCGTCTTGCTTTCGACGCAGTTTCTTTATAACTGCTTGTTTGGTAGTCCAGTAAGCATTTTTCAGTCTGTGAGATGTTGAATCATTTGTCCTTTGAATATACCGCTCGCAGCTGGGGTTGTAATAACTAATTCGTAATCAGTAATAGACAACCACCAACCAACATACCTTGTCATCGCCAACGCAACGCGTTTCTGAAATTACGCGGATGCTAACTCGTCAGTCCAATACCCAATAGCTTTGTCATGGTTTTGTATTAAACGAATGATTTCTTTGCTCTCTCGCCTTGTTTTTTTCGGTACGGTGCCGGATGAAAGACACGGTGAGCGCTCAACTTCGAAATACTCAACATCCATTGTCCGGATACCATCAGTAACAGTGGGAGAGAACAAACCAACTTCCAGTTGAAGAGAAGATTTGGTGGGTGGTCCGTGCTCCTCCGTGTAAGTAAGTGTGGAAAATTCGGAGATAGACAAAACGTTTTTCAAAGTTCCAAGTCGTTTACTACTAAAACACTGGATGATAGTGGGTCAAAACCAGTTGAGTTGGACAAAAGGATGGATTCGCTATCATTCATTGCCACCTGAAGCAGTGACTCAAATTCGACGCAAATATTAATTTCCAAAACAGGCTAATCCCACTCACTTATTGTTGATAATTGTACTTACTTACTTACTTACTTACGTCCGTTACTCCTAATAGAGCATAGGCCGCCGACCAGCATTCTCCAACCCACTCTGTTCTGAGCCTTCCTTTCTAGTTCCATCCAATTCTTGTTTATTTTTCTCATGTCTATCTCCATTTCTCGACGTAATGTGTTCTTTGGTCTTCCTCTTTTCCTTTGGCCTTGATGATTCCATGTGGGAGCTTGTCTTGTGATACAGTTGGATGCTTTCCTCATTGTGTGTCCTATCCACTTCCAGCGCTTCTTCCTGATTTCTTCCTCCACTGAGATCTGATTTGTTCTCTCCCACAGTGCGTTGTTGTTAATAGTTTCCGGCCAATGGATCTGAAGTACTTTCTGTAGACAACTGTTAATAAACACTTGTATCTTCTGAATGATGGCTTTCGTAGTTCTCCAGGTTTCCGCCCCATACAGTAGGACTGTCTTGACATTTGTATTGAAAATCCTGACCTTGGTGTTGGTTGACAGTTGCTTTGAGTTCCAGATGTTCCTCAGTCGTAGATATGCTGCTCTTGCTTCACCGATCCGCGCCTTCACATCTACATCAGATCCACCCTGTTCATCAATGATGCTGCCCAGATATGTGAAGGTTTTTTCATCTTCCCAATCTTCTCCGTCAATTGTGACTGGATTGGTGCATGCTGTGTTGTATGGGAGAATCTTGCTTTTCCCTTTGTGTATGTTGAGACATACTGCTGCTGAGGCTGCTGCTACACTGTTCGTCTCTCCTGCGTTTGTTATTGCGTTTGCAGTAGAAGAGCCAGATCATCTGCGAAGTCTAGATCGTCCAGCTGCATTCTAGCTGTCCACTGTATCCCGTGCTTCCCCTCAGGTAATGACGTCTTCATGATCCAGTCGATCACCAGGAGAAAGCGAAAGGGTGAAAGTAATCAACTCTGCCTAACACCAGTCTTTACTCCGAACGACTTTGTGAACTGTCCTCCATGCACGATTTTGCAGTTGAATCCATCATATGAATTCTATATGATATTGACTATCTTCTCAGGCACGCTGTAGCGTCGAAGAAGTTTCCATAGTGTTGTTCTGTCCACGCTATCAAATGACTTTTCGTAGTCAATAAAGTTGATGTAGAGTGATGAATTCCATTCAATTGATTGTTCCACAATGATACGTAGTGTTAAGATTTGGTCTGTACACAATCTATCCTTACGGAAACCTGCCTGTTGGTCACGAAGTTGAGCGTCTACGCAGTCCTTCATCCTGTTTAACAATACCCTGTTGAAGACTTTTCCCGGTATTGAGAGAAGAGTGATGCCCCTGTAGTTATCACAGTTGCTGAGATCGCCTTTCTTCGGTATTTTTATCAGAACTCCTTCTTTCCAGTCTGTTGGTGCTTGTTCCTCATCCCAAATCTTATTGAAGAGAATGTGGAGTATCCTTGCAGTTACCAGTACGTCTGCTTTCAGTGCCTCTGCTGGAATGCTGTCTGGTTCCGCTGCCTTGCCACTCTTGATTTACCTGATGGCCATGCTGATTTCTTCAATTGTTGGTGGGCCAACATTGATTGGGAGGTCCGTGGGTGCTGCTTCGATGTTGGATGGGTTCAGTGGAGCTAGTCGATTCAAAAGTTCTTTGATGTGTTCTACCCACCTGTTTTGCTGTTCTCCAATGTTGGTGATTACCTTGCCTTCCTTGCTTTTCACTGGTAGTTCTGGTTTACGGTAATTTCCAGGGAGTTTCTTTGTCGTGTCATACAGTTGTCTCATGTTTCCTTCTCTTGCAGCCTTTTCCACCGTCGTTGTCAGATCTTCCACATATTTACGTTTGTCGTTTGTGGTGCTCCTCTTCAATTGTTTGTTTACTTCTGTGTATTCAGCTTGTGCCTTGGCTTTTTCTGCTCTTGTTCGACTGGTATTGATTGCTGCTTTCTTGTTCCTCCTTTCTTGAATCTTATCCAGTGTATCAACAATGATCCATTCCTTGTGATGGTGCTTCTTGTGACCCAGAACTCCATGACATGTTGAAGTTGCTCTCCATAGTAGTTCCTTCTCCATTGAGTAGGTCATGAAAGGCTTGGAATCTATTGCTGAGGACTACCTTGAATTTGTTGAGTTTGTCAGTATCCTGAAGAAAGGCCGTATTGAACTTTTGTGATATTGTCCGCCCCATTGTCCAGTGCTTCTTGAGTTTCAATTTCATCTTGGCGACCGACAAGTGATGATCTGATGCTATATCAGCTCCTCTCTTGGTTCGCACGTCCTCTATAATCCTCCTGAACGTTTTCTTGATGCAAATATGGTCGATTTGGTTTTGCGTGGTGTGATCCGATGAAGTCCATGTGGTTTTGTGTATGTGTTTATGTGGGAATACAGTTCCGTCAATGACCAGTTTATTGAAGGCACATAGGTTTGCAAATCTCTCACCATTTTCGTTCCTTTCTCCCAGACCATGTCATACCATGATGTCTTCATATCCAGTGTTGTCCGTTCCAACCTTGTCATTCAAAACTCCCATCAGAATGGTCGGGTCCTTTGTTGGGCACTTCTCGATGATTGACTGCAGCCTATTGTAGAGTTGATCTTTAGCGTCTTCATTGTGGTCGTTGGTAGGCGCATAGCATTGGATGATGTTCATTGAAATGCCCCCTTTATTTGTTTTGAAGGAGGCTTTGATGATCCTTGGTCCATGAGATTCCCATCCTATAAGTGCATTTTGTGCTTGTTTGAACAGCATCAATGCAACTCCTTGTGTATATGGAGCATTTTCTTCTTCATTGCCGGAGTATAACAGAAGCTCCCCTGAAGCTAGTCGTTGTTGTCCAACTTGCGTCTAATGTGTTTCACTGATCCCAAGCATCTCTAGGTTGTATCTCCTCATTTCTGCAGCAATTTGGAAGGCTCTCCCGGTGTCCCACATTGTACGAACATTCCATGTACCTGAATAAATGGTCGCTCTGGTTGTCAGAAGGGGCATCGGCTTCGTAACTTCCGAGGGAATTCGGCTTTCATCATGAGGCGTCATAATTCTTCTAAATGAAGAGCTTCTGACTCCCAGGGCAGAGTTTAAAAGGTTCGAATAATTTTTTCTGGTTAGCGTTTTTTAGCGAGTTAGTTTTCTACGGGATGGGGACGCTAACCCCATGTTCAACCCTCCTCCTTTATCCGGGCTTGCGACCGGCAGTAGCCCCCGGAGGAACTTCAGGCGGAGGTGTTGATAATCGTAGCGTAGAGTTAATCATTTCTAACAGGAATTTATTGTTTCTTAATAATTTAAAACCTATAAGTAGTGCAATTAATGACATTACTGGCCACCAGTTACCCATCTTGGATACAGTTAATGCCGCCTTGATTATAAATCTGGTTGCGAAACGGATAATATTGATAGCTGAGTCGTCCAGTCGAGCTACTTGCATTGTAACTCCATTAAAGACTGATGGAAATACACATAGAATTTTCGGTAATTACCGCTTGAGTGACAAATCTTCTGACTGAACGCTTAACTCGGTTTCCTAAACTCTTCTAATAACCCTCCCCCTTTATCCGTGCTTGGGACCGGTACTAGCCCCGGGCGAGATCCCAGGCTGATTTTCCAATTAAGGTTCCAGATTTTAGTCGAAATTTAGAAATAGGTTTCCCCAATTGTCGTTCTGACAACAAGTTATAACAATTACATATCTGTTCTTCAATTTTGTTGGTTACCGGTCAAAAACTCTCAAATACCAAACCAAAGACAATAGAAACCAAAATTGTATAACGGTATAAATTTGGAAGTTTAGTAAAACAAATACACCCAAAGAACACAGTGAAATTATCAATATACAATGTAAAGGTTTTAATCAGACAAATGTCTTCAGTTTTCCCGTAACGCTCCAAACCGAAAGAACCTTTGCTGTTTTCACATGCAAACAAATAGGCAGCGAGGATTCAAGTATGTGCATTTCAAACGATCAAAGACAAACTCTCAGTGTACCAACAGCCTCGTGATCCCTAGGACTTAGACCAGGACGCATATGGATCCGAGTAGCTACATAACATCTACACCTTCAAGACGAAGTTTTGGAATATCTCTTGCTAGGACTCTCTTTCTTGTTCTCAACTCCTTATGATGAATAAGAGTATTTGAATTATAGTATGAACTAAAAATCCCAAAAATTTCGTAGTCGGATCAAGAAGTACTAGATGAGCACAAACGAATGTATTGTATTTAGAATTCGAAATCAAACATTCTACAAGTACAAAGAAATCATCAGTTCATTCAAACACCACATCCGCCACAGCTTAAATTGGAGTCTTAGTGCTTGTAATTGATTGTACGTCTTCTCCTTAAGTTCATCCTGTGTCTGTCCGAGTTTGTTAAATAAAGACTCTGTATTATCTAGAATTCACTCATTAGTATTAGAATTAACAATCGAAATCGAAACAGACTCACTTGCTTCCTGGGATTGTGTACAATCCCCATGTCGGTTGAGTACTGAAACTACTGCTACCTAGAATTTGAGCCATAGAAATTCAGACTATCCTCCCCCACGAAATAATGTCGGATCTTCATATCCCCAAGTTATTAATAATGTGGCTTCATTTAAAAAATATTTCTTACATTGATTATAATATACATTGGAAGTGAATTTGTGATAAGGATGAACAGCATTTGATATGAAA